TCCTTTCTTCCCAATACACCCGCCTCCTTGCACGCTGCTCGATCTCAGCACGCACGGTATGTGCCTGGAGGGTCTAACGCAGAAGAGACTTGATGAAGAGGACCGAAGACGAGGGGAAAGCCCGGCGGCAGCTCGCAGCCTGCAATTTGCTCCCGATGCAGCGCCGCGATACTGCTACATCGCCACTAGCCAGCGCGTGCAAAGTGGCCGAAAACAAACTTTGCTGCGATAATATCACACGGCGAGAAGCGATATGAATTACCAATTTCCCCCAATTGAATAATTTGCTCGGCACACTCAATTCCACAAATTCAAAGCTCCTTCGATTACGAATTTTCGATAAGAAAAACACATCTCCATTACTCTATTGCTATGTTATCCCTCAACACAAGCTTTCTTTCAGAACATTGCAGAGAACTAAAATGCATAGATTCTTTTAATCATTTACTTCTTAAATTCTTCAGGCGCAGACTACGTACAGCTTGTAGCATAGGAAGTGACTTTTTTTCTGGAAGTTAGAAAGCAAACAAGAGGCAGATTTCATTAGGCGCCCCCTCAGGTATTCATAAAAGGGCGAATCATTTCAGGTGAAAACAACAGCAGCGTGTTTCTCATAATTTTAGTTACGAATAATTGCTTTTTTATTTTCGCCATCAGAAGCATAGATTCTATAGAAAATATGTTTTGTAAGTGCATTTGTAGTTGTACAGCCGCGTCTTATACGGAATTTTTGCACGTTTTCAAAACTCGGAAGTGGTGTTAGCGGTGTCGCGTCATTAGCAAACAGTGAGTGCGTAGCAATTCTGACCCCCGGCTGGCGGCTCCGGTTCTGATGGCCTACGGCCGGTAGAGATAGCCGCGCACATTACAAGGCTACAGCAATGTACCCAAATTCCGTCAATTCACACGTATGTTTTTTTCGTCGTTTATGTACGGAATAGGTACATTTTGTCTTAAGAAATATAGAGAAATTTTCTCAGCACTTCGTCTCACTTTAAGCGTAAATTTCTGGACATTATAGAAAATAAACCTTGGGTACTTTCGAAGGGTGTTTCGACTTAACGATATGAATATTTGTTTATCTACTTCAGGAAAATACGATGGTGTGCTTTTTATGCATAAAATGATGCAACCTTAAGACAAACTTATTTCCAACCTTAAGACATTCTGGTAATAACATTTTGTTGGCATGAAGTCAAGACACAAGATTCATATCAACGATAACGGAGTATTTTTTCCTCTAAGATAATTAATTCAAATTATTATCGTTTCCGTAGACTATTCATTATCAAAGTTTCAGTAATAGGTCTATAAAATAAGAAAATGAGATTTGGCGAATGAAAGGACCTACGTGATATAGGATTGATTGAAAGGACTCATATAGGGCGCTATCGCCCAGTGCACTGAAGTGTTGAAAAAACGATATGTCCACGTAAAGGGAAGTAGAAATCAAGCTCTTCACCCGGTCGCTGGGAAGTGTGAGGGTGGAGTGCAATGAGTCGCCGAGCGACGCCCGCCGGCGGCACGTGGTCCTGTTGCCGTGCGGAGCGGCGCGGCGGGCGGCGCGACGAGGAGGCGCTCTAATTGGCCGGCGCTAATTACGCGGCGCGAGAGTCGGAGGGCGCATGGGCGCCGTGGCGCATGCCGAGTGGGGCTAGCTGCAGGCGGGGCAGAGCCCAAAAGGGGGGAGGGGATAGGAGGGGCGGGACGAGGCGGGTTGGAGGTGCGTGAGGCGTAGCGACGTGGGGTATGGAAGAGCTGGGTGTGGCGGGGCGTGGCATGGTATGGCATGGCGGCGATGGTTGGGGCAGGGAGGAGGAGGAAGGCCAATTCCGTGGTCGGAGGTCGAAAGTCGCGTCTTGCGCGCGCGAGAACGCGAAGGCCGAATCTATGGAGTGCGGCCTCCTCCCCACGCCTCGTTCCGTCGCCGCTTCCACAGCCTCACCATTTTGTTGCGTTTTGCATCGCAGATTCCTTCAGAATGATTCATTCACGATTGATTAAAATAACCGGACTAATTTTTACATCATTTGATACTAGCTCTGAGAACTTGATGTTGTAACGGGGCATTACATCCCAGGCCGCTAATTGTATTTCCTTTTTTCCATTAGAAGAAAGTAATTAAATAAACAGGATGCACAAAAATATATCATTCTAAAATTATTTTTAACGTTCACAAGTCATATTTATCTTAAGAGTAACACACATACGCTTATGCAAATATAATGCTGAAAAAGTATCTTATACGATCGTATCTGTCAAATTTCTACAATGAAGTTAAGCACATTTTTATATGAATACGATGTGTCACTTTGCGCGCACACACACGTGCACGTGTTAGTTTTCCATTAATCTTCATATGAGTGGGCGCGGTTCGGAACAGATGCATCTTCCCAAAGAGATTCGCTATCATGGGTTGGAATCCACAACAATAGATCTAAGCAAAGCAAATAGAGTGATGGTAAGCTCAATTAAGTGAACGCTCGTGACGCCGATGGTGCAGTGAGAAAGGGGGGCGAGAGACGACGAATTCATTACAAGCAAACTACGTACGCTCACTTCATTTTTGTACTCTGGAATGTCCAAGTATAAAACTACAGGGTCCTAACATTTTCTGTGCACAGTACCTAATGTTGACGGGTGTTCATTCGTTTTTAAAGAAAAAAGTAAGGACATCCGTTTTTGAAATTCGGAAGAACACTGCTTGAACACCAATATTTAAAATTCGTTAGAAATATATTAATTAATGAAAATGCAATGGATACATTCATTTTTTAATAAAAAAAATCAATTTTATAATGACGCAAATATGAACGTAGAACATAATAAATATTGTCCGCACAATTGAATTATTAAAAAATAGTAAATATTAGGAAACAAACTGTTAACTGAAAACAAATTTGTACATATTTACTTGATATAATAATATAACTCATTTCCACTAAATACTACTCTGTAACCTTAAAAAATGAAATTGCTAATATTTTGTCGAATCGCTCAGTTTTTAGCTTTTAGAATTACGACAATTTGAACAGCTTTTTGACTAAAAGTAATTAATAAATCAGTCAAATCAACTCATGACATATCACAATTTTCTTTCTCATGTTTATTAGAAACTTTTTTATTTTTGTTTAAGTTAAGTAGAAAACGCATTATTTAAAAGAATACTTACAGCATCTTTACTCTCTCCTCCGAAGGTATAGTTCATTTTTACGAGAGGGCGTGGTCTTTGTGTTTATTCAAGTAGAAAATTGAATTTAAAAAATATATATTTATACGACAATATGATGTAAATAAATGATCTTGGAAAAGAAAGAAAAGATTGCTAAATGAATTACGAGAGTGAGTAAAAAATTCAAAATTCTTGTATGGAATATCATAAGCGAAATGGTTGCATTACAAGACATTATTGAATGTGCTAGATATATTTCGTTCGCAGAGCTGTATAGTATATGAATATTTACGTAATGTGTTCAACTCGAATTTCATATCAGAAGGCAAAAGAAGCCCCAATACTAAGCTAACCTTGCGATAAATTTTACTACAATGCATTTAACGGTGCCCTAATGACTATGAAACAAACTACAAGATATGTACTCATATTAGCAGAGTTTTCAGTAATTTTCTACATCTACGTAATAACTGCATAATACCGGAATGTGCAGCGGCTTCGGGTTCCTTCCTTTTTCTTGTATGGAGCACCCCACAATGGCACTTCAACAGAAAAAGTTAAAATGTTTTTTTTGGCAAACAAAATAAGAAATACTGAAGTTGTTTAAAGAAATTGATAGAATTTTTAAAGAGAGCGTACGCAAGCTCTTTTGACCGCGCGCGGGCAGTGCCAGTGTGGCTAGCGCAGCTGCCAGCGGTAGCAGCCAGCGCGACCCCCGCGCAGCCAAACCTGACAGCCGAATTCCGGTAAAAGGGGGCGGGGGCCCAAAAGACAGCTCAAGGAGAGGGGAGAGTTCAGTGGGGCGAGCAGAGAGAGGGGGCGAGAATCGAAATGGGGAGAACGTAGAGCTCCCTGTCTTTCTCTGTGCTGGAGGCGGATGGCGGCGGCGGCGGCGGCGGCGGCGGTGGCGGTGGCGGTGGCGGTGGCTGTGACGTTGGCGTACCGGCCATCGCGCCGCCGCATCCACGCCGGCCGTTCTCACACGCATCGTCAGCGGCGGGCGAAGGGGCGGGGCGGGACGGGGCGGAGCGACAAACCAACGCACGCTCGGGAAGTGCGTTAAAGTAGCGCCCAAAGCGGCTAAGAACATGTTTCGGCCGGTACGCCGCCTCACACCTCTTATCAATAATGTTTCTGTCAAGGGCTCCCTTCCAATAGTACTTACAGGCCTAACGTCCACCGCTTTGTCGGTTTGATTCTCCAGCAACGGTATTATATTTCCATGTTTTTCAGATCTCATTTATGCGGTCGACGAATATTTCTCCTAAAACTCAATGAGGATAAGTATCCACGTCGTTTATTTCCTTATGATTGTATTCGCTCTCTTGCAACGTTCGCGCTCGTGTAGGTAATAAGTGGGCTCCCCTCTCCCTATTAATTAACGTTGGAGTATTTTGAAATGCTTCGCAACTCGCGCACGAAGTGGTCAAGTCGCTGCTTAATTGCAAGAGCGGGATTGAGCGGGTCAAAAGATTTGACACTACTCCGAAAGACCGACACGTACAAACAATTAAGAGACGTAGGAGCTTCCTGAAGGCGGACGGTTGAGAGTGCGTGTTCGAAACCCGGGCTGCTCTTCGCAGGTTCCTCCCTTGCTCCCCCTACGGCACGGGCGAGCGGCCAGCGGAGCGCTGCTGTGTTAACAGCAATTACCAGACAGTTAATGCGCTCCTCTCGGGGCCAATTATCGGCGATCGGGATGGGGAAGGGAAAGGGGAAACGGGCGCGGCGCCGCCATTATCGCGCGTACGTACACATGTAGCCCCGTGCGGTGTATCTCCCAAGGACAAACCACGCCTGTAATACGCGACCTTCCTTTCGAAACTCGGAGTGAGATACGACACTCTCGAACACACACGCACATATACACAGCCGTCTCGCAATGGCTATTTAGGGCAGGCAGGCCCCGACATGTCCCACTCATCATCGATAACCCGTTAATGCATTTCTGTAATTTAATATGTAAAGGTTTCGTGTAAATTATCATACATTTTAAATCAATACACATGACATAACACATGTATCATCGTTTTAATTTTCATACGTTTTGCGAGATAAAATAGTTGGTTCAGAGCTGTTATCTCTATGGTTTGTTGGGCACAGTAGGTACCGATGGCTTTGAAGACCAACGAGCTAGTGCGTGAATCCAGCTTCGGCGAGAGGCACAGCGGCTGGGATTCGGGCAGTGGTCCTGAGGGCGCGGCGCGGAGTGGCTGACCCGCTTTTTCTGGGACTCTCCCGCCGGCCGCTGCCGCCTCCGGCTCTCGCCCCATTCACCGAGTGACCCTCGCCCGCGGATGCTGCATCCGCCGCCGCCGCCGCCGCCGACCGGTCCAGCGGCCAAAGGGCGAGAAAGGGCACAGGGCCAGGAGGTCCACCCTTCACCCGGTCGCCCGGGGCGCGATGGTGTTTGGGCGCCGTGCGTCCCCGACTTTCCCCGCCGCGCGTCCCCGCGTATCCCCGCGCCGCCGCCTCTCCCC